AGAGTAAAGGGTCAGTGAAAAAGAGGAAGACCTTCAATGAGATGGATTGACACAATGGCTGCAACAGTGGGCTTAAGCATAGCAACGACTATGAGGATGGCATAGGACTGGGCAGTGTTTCGTTCTGTTGTACATAGGGTCACTATGAGTCAAAAACGACTCAACAGCACCTAACAACAACAATAATACCTCTCTGAACTCATCTCTGTTGGCACTCCCTGCTGCTTCCCCAACTCTGGACACAATGGCCACTGGCAGTTCTTTAAACACAGAATGCTCTCCAAATACACACAGGATTGTTGCACTTACTGTTCCCTCTTCCTGGAATGTTCTTCTGCATCCTTTATCTCTGTTGGGTCTTTGAGCAGATGTATTACCTTCCTAATGTATATGTTTGTTGTCTGCCCTTGTCATAATTAAGCTTGCCCTTGCCTTAATTAAGCCTGCCTTTGCCATAATTAAGCTCTATGAAGACAAGGATTGGGGTCTGTTTTGTTCAGTTGTTCAATAATGTTATGAAGGACTCGAGGGTCTTTCCACCTTCCTCTCTTATTCCCTTAGGCCAGCTCCTCTCCTGGTTTCAAGAGAGCCACTGTCATTCCAAGCATCACATGCAGAAGGCAAGGATCAGAGGTAGAAACAGTATGTCCCTGTTATATGTTCCTTTTATAGAGCAAGGCAAACTTCACTAGAAGAATCCAGCAGACTCCCCTCACATTTACTTTCCCAGGATATATGCCATGTTCTTCACCAGGCTCATAGAGGGGCTTTAAGGATTCCATGAACTGCCCCTCCCCCACTAGTTATGTAAGTAAAAAACAGCAGCACATATATAAGAATAGGACAGAAACTGCCTCTTTCTGGGCCCAGGCAATCAGATGAGAATTATGACAGGCACTGTAAGAGGATGAGTGAGGTAGGACATGGCTGGCTTCCTGCAGAACTGGGGAAGTAAATGTAGGTATCTTCTCCCTTCCCAGAGCCTATCACTCCTCATCTAACTCTGCTAACAGAAGCCAAGACAGATGGACAAGCATCCTCTAAACATCAGCACAAGGAAGTATTAAGCCTGGAACAGAAGTGGGTACAAGAAACACATGACACTAACTCCACTGAGAAAAGCAAAGTATTTTTCTACACTAGTACTCCCCATTTCAAGGCCTTTCTTAAGACTGCCAGTCCACAACTCAGTAACAGCCCACTGGTGGGGAAGAGCAAGAATTTTACACTAAAGCCTTTGAAAAGGTATTTCTTCTGGGCACTCTGAGGGGAATGACATGCCCTCTGTCAACATATGAAAGATCAAGTCCCAGCGTAGGAGCTGTATTAAGTTAAAGTTAATATCCTAGATGTGAGGATAAAGATATACAAACAACTAAATTTGGAAGTTGCAGTGAACAAGAGATGAATCACTCAATTCCCCCATCAAGGAAATTCTTGTTGCCCCAAGATGCTGGGAGTATTATTATCCAATAGCTTTAAGGTGTCAGCACCTTCAGGGCTTCTCCTTATTTGCAGAGCTGACTTGTCCAAGATCACGCCGTTCCGGTGGTGTTCACATCCAATGACTGACCTAGGACTGCTTGTATATACCAGGTTCTGATTCCAGAATTATTGTCTGTTATCCTTTTTTTCTGTTCTTTCATAATGCCCTAGTTTTAATTATTTTAGCTTTATAAGCAACATCATAATCAATGGAGAAAATATTGAAGTTGTCAAGAATTTCATTTTACCTGAATCCACAATCAATGCACATGGAAGCAGCAGTCAA